AGCCGCACGCAGGTTGATGGGACCGGTCGCCTCGCCGTCGGCATCGGCATCGGCTCTGGCCGTCGGCGCGGCACTGGACCCGCTGCCTGCCCTCGTCGCGGATCCCGTGGAGCTCGTCGAGGATGTGCGAAGCCGGCTCGACACGGCAGGCACCGACTGGCGCGGTGAGCCTGCTCGAGTGGCGCCAGCGGCACCTGGCAGCGATCCTGCACGGCGCTGCAACGGGTTCGTCCTGGCCTGCGAGGGCGTGCTCGCACCCTGTGCGACGACCGCTGGCTTCAGGCCGGTCCGAGTCCTTGGCGGTTCGGGTGGCGCAGGCTCCTTTGGCAGGAGCAGGTCGGTGGATGCGACGCCGAGCTCGTCTGCCAGCTCCTTGAGGCACCACTTCTCGAGCTCGTTGAAGCCGCCGAGCGCCCGCACGTTGATCCACCTCCGCTTGAGGTAGCGCAGGACGCCGCCACGGGCATCTTCGACCGCCTGCTTGGAGGTCTCGACCTCGAATCCGTCGTCGCGCAGCAGCACCTGGCCGACGAGGGTCTGGTAGGTGTGGGCCGCCCTCGCCTCGGTGAGGCTGTCGACGAGCATGACGAGGCTCTTTTCCAGGACGTCGCCGAGCTGGCCGACGCCGTTGATCAGGTCGGCCCACTCCTGGCTCTTGACAATCTCGTCGAAGCGCGTGCGGATGACGAGCAGCAGCCGGGCCTCGATGATCTCGGACATGGAGCGCAGCGCCTCGACCCACCTGCTCGCCCGCTCAGTGTCGATGCGCCTGCCGACAATCGAGAGCTGGCGCAGGACCGAGATGATCTCGCGCGGCCGGGACTCGACGCGCTCGCACACCAGGCCGACGATGTCGTCGCGCAGCGTCGGATGCAGGTTGCCCACCTCCTTGGCCCAGTACAGGCCAAAGTCGCGGCCGGTGATGGCGTTGACGGCCATGCCGGCGAGGTCGGCGTCGGCGACGTCGACGCTCGAGGCAAACGCCAAGGTCCGCGGCACCCGCTTGAGGCACTTGCGGCACGGCGGCGAGCAGGCGAAGTTGTGGCAGAAGTCCTGGGCGATCATGGCCGCGACGAGGTGCTGCAGCGTCTCGACCTGGAGGTAGGCGCCGGCCCGCCACAGCTGGAAGGCCGTGGTGAGGTCAAAGGTGCGGTTCGAGAAAAAGAGGGTGCCCGTGTAGAGGAAGCCGAGGGCAAAGTGGAGCGAGGCGGGCGTAAAGGGGGGCGAGGGGAGGTTGAGGACCGACGTGCGCGAGTCGGCGTAGGGCGAGAGGAAGAGCGAGGCAAAGTAGGGCGAGCGCGAGACGAGGATCATGCGGTGCGAGGAAAACGAGGTGAGCTCGTCGTCGTCGTCGTCCGAGTCGTCGACGCGCTCCGTGTCGATGGTCTGCGGCAGCGACAGCACCGACGCGTTGGCGTCGGGGATGTCGGGCATGTCGCGATCGACGTCCGGACCGCGGCGGTCCTGGCCCGTATCGAGGACGATCCTGACGTCCGAGTAGAGCTTGCTGCGCCACATGAATGTCATGTCGGACCGCAGCTTCTCCTGCTTCTCTGCCGGGCCGCGCTCGGCGTCGGTGGCGACGCGGTCCTCGTACAGGAACTCGAACGCATCGACCATGCTCTCCTCGCCAGTGTAGAGGAACTCGAGCGTCGCCTCAAAGTAGGCCTGGCTGACGCCGTTGAGGCTCATGGGCGCACGGATCGTGCTGGCCTCGCTGAGGATCGAGGCGGTGTCGGCGCGCGACGCAGAGTCGGCGTCGGACGAGAACGACGGCATCCTCGCCAGCCCCGCCCTCGCCGCAAGGTCGGGCGTCGGGCCCCGGCTGATGGTGCGGATCAGCGTCAGCCCCTCTGGCTCGCTGTCGCTCGTCATGATGCCCGACGTGATCGACGCCGTGTCGTCCGGAGCCGGCGCAGACAGACGGTGGCCGGCGGAGGGCTGGTGGCTTCCGCTGCGCGAAGGGCGCCGCAGGCTGGGCCGCTTCATCGAGAAGCTGCTCGGCGGCTTGCTCCCGCGCACGCTCTTGCGCGACGAGGCTGCGGTGGCCACGCTGGTCGGGGTCGTCGACCGCGACTGCTGAGGCGTGGCCGCAGCGGCATCGGTGCCGAGGTTGGGCAGCGAGACGAGGCTGGCGTTGGAGGCGTTGTAGCCCAGCTGTGCCGCGGGCGAGCGCAGCTTGAGGTAGCGGGCCTGGAACGTGTTGGGGGCGCGCGCGTACAAGATGGCCTTGTGCGCCCAGATGATGGTATGGTCGGTGCTGGTGCGGGCGCTTGACCGGGGTCGATCCTCAAAGTTCCAGTCGGCAAGCACCCTCCGGGCCGAGGATCCGGCGTCGGAGAGCGAGGCCGTGTCGGATTCGGCGCCGTCGTCGGGGGGCGCAGTGGTCCAGCAGACGTCGGCGAAGCGCTCCTCGGCCCGGGTGAGCAGGCTGCGGAGGTCGGAGCGCCACGCCTGCGTCGCCGCCTCCTGGGCGGCCGCGACGGACTGTATCGGTGCGGCATGGCTGCGGGCGAGGAGGGAGCCGCGCCTGGCGAGCGAGCTGGACGGCGGCGGCGCCTGCTGCTGCTGCTGCTGCAGTTGCGCTTGCTGCTGAGGGGTAAGCAACGGAGCCATCGGTCCTGACCGCTGCAGCCGTTGCGGCGGGCTGGGGAATGCTGTCGTGTGAGAGGTGGTGGCGGCCGCCATGGTGTCGGGGCTGCAATGAACAGGTAGGGAACGGTGGGACGCTGCGGGGCGATGCGGGGTAGGGTATAAGTCAAGCTTCGTGGTGACGGCTGGCTGGGTGTCGGTGTTCAAAGAGCGTCCTTCTCTGCTGCTGTGCGATGCTATGTGTGGGTGCCCCATTCGAGAGAGAGAGAGAGGAGGGCGGGTATACCAGATCGATGAAGGCGGAGATGAGGGAGCTGGCGGTCCCAGGATGGCGAGGGGCGCTGGCGTGAGCGTGAGCGTGTCTGCGGGACAAGCGCCGGGCAACCCAGCCCCTCTCTTGTCGTCCTGGCCGCTTCTGCTGCCCGCTCTCGCTCTCGCCCTATTGCGACCCGGGCAGGACAGCCGACGTCGTGAGAGAGACGAGGGAAATAGCGGAAGGTCCAGGGAGGGTGACGCTGCTGGACGGTGGTGGTAGAGGGCCAAGGTGGTCAGAGTCGTGGTGCGCACGCGCCACGCCCTACTCTGGAAAAGGGCCTCCAAAAAGCCAAGCGAAATTGGGCGGCCGCCCTGCTGGGCCGCCGAGTCTGAGCATCAGCCCACCGCGCTGCACTGCGCTCCCTGCCAGCCGAAGGGAAGGGGGCCCTGGCTCTGATTCTTCCTGCTCATCCGGCATCGAGCCACCATCACCAGCCCGGCCCGGCCAACTTGGCCACCGCATCACGTCACACCACGACTCTGTCACAAGCAAGCAGGGGCCTCTGGATTGCAGCCACCGACCGATCAGCACCAGATCGAGGCCGGCCAACGTCGAGTGGGGAGTATCTTGTCGAGCAAAAGTCATCGCAGGGGTCGTAAACGTTGCTATCATGGCCGTCGCGGTCGTCGCCATCGTCGTCGTCGTCACTACCATCGCCATCGCCATCACCGCAGGAGCTCATCAATGACTGCAGAGGACGAGGGAGGGTCAAGGTGATCCGGTGAGCCATCACCCTCTGCCGACGAGCAAGCGAGCGAGGGGGCGCCATCGCCACTCACCCATCTCGAGGACCGTGTAGACGAGGTGCTTGTTGAGCCTCTTGTTCTGCAGCGCCGTAAAGACGCGCCTCGATCCCCGGCGCGCATTCTCGCGGCCGATGAGGTTGGCCGCCAGCTCGGGCACCAGCGTCGACAGCTTGCGGTTGGCGCTCTCGCGCAGCGCCTCCTTTTCCTCGGTCGAGCGCGGCGTCGACGGCGGCTTGAGCTCGCCGTTGGGCCACATGCCGTTGCGCAGCGCACCGACGTAGGCCACCAGCGGGTCCGGCTTGAGCGCGTTGGCCACCACGTCGCGCACCTTGCGCTCAATCGTCGAGCCAAACAGCTGCTGCAGCAGGATGACAATCGCCTGCCGCCGCAGCCAGTTGTTCTTCTCCTTGAGCTCAAAGATCTCGACAAACAGGTCGCAGATCGGCTCGGTCCAGTACGTCGTCCCCGCGCCCGCCGCCTCCTTGAGCTCCGCCGGCGTCGCGCCCTGGTCCATGGCCTGCGAGACGAGGTCAATGTCGGGCACGCCCCGCAGCGCGCCCGTGCCCTGCGGCGCCGCCTGGACCTGCGTCGAGAGCCGCTGCACGACAATGTCGAGCATCGACGGGCCGATGCCGATCAGGTCATCGAGGCCCTCGGCCACCCCCGTCATGCCCTTGAACAGCGACTTGACCAGCCCGCGCACCGGGAAGTTGGCGCCGAGGCCGTCCCGGGCCGCCTTGGCGACGTCCGAGGCCCGGCCGACGGCATTCCCCCCCGTGGCGGCGGCGGCGTTGGGCGACTGCGAAAGAAACGAGCGCAGCTCCTGGCTCTCGCACGCAGCCGGCAGCCGAACGAGCGCCTGGAGGTATCGCTCCAGTGATGACTTGCGCGCGTCCACAAAGGGCGCGTGGACCAGCCCGACGAGCCTCTTGCCGGGGAACTCGGACTCCAGCGCCTTGACCTCGGCCAGCCGCTCCTTGAGGCTCTGGTGGAGCGACCAGAACTCCGAGTACCGCCGGCCGACGATCCAGCCGCTCGCGACGGCCGAGGCCGAATCGCGCATCAGGTTGACCTCGATCAGGTAAACGGCGTACTCCTTGCCCTCGTTGTCAATGGCGATCGTGGTGCCCGTGATCGACACCTGCGTCTTGCCGGCGACGAGGCGGTTCTCGGAGAGCTGCAGCTCAAACTGCTCGCGCTGCCACTGCACCTCGCGGGCCTCGCGCTTGACGGCGTTGCGGGACTTTTGCAGCAGGCGCAGCTCGCCGGCACGCGCGCCCGTCAGCTCGGCCTTGCGGATGAGGGCGTCGAGGATCTCCTCCTGCGAACGCAGCTTGTCGAGCTTCTCGGCCATCCGCCTGACCTCGCCGTCGAGGTTGAGGTCGCCGGGCGCGGCCACGCGGACGCTGCCGGTCTTCTTTGTAGGCTGGTCGGGCAGCTCGAGCGAGGGCGACGCTTCGGCCTCCGCCTCGGCGCCGGAGGAGGACGAGGAAGCGTCGTCTTCATCAAACAGCCGAGGCTTGGCCGCTCTATCGGGCGTCTGGAAGCGAGCCTTGCCCTTGGGCCTCGGCCCAGCTTCGGGCCTGGTCGTCCGCTTCCGCTCGATGCGCTCCAGGGATTCGACGCTGCTGGACGGGTCCTTGCTGTTCATGTCCTCGTCGATGATCGAGGCCAGCGCGCTCTGGATGGCGTCCACCTTGTCGACCTGGACGTACTCGGAGCCCGGGCTCGAGTTCCTCTCGCTGGCGTCGTCCTCGGCGTCGTCGAAGAGCGGGTCGTTGCGGAATAGCGGGGCCCGTCCGTCCGGGCCGACGTGCTGGGTCCGCCCGCCGATGAGGATGTCCAGGTTGCCGGCCATGGCGCTGGACTTGAGACGGGTGGCGGCGGGCCGTTGTTCGCCAAAGAGCGCGCTGCGCTGCGAAACCGTCTTGTCCGCCGCGACGAGCTCCGACGCATCCTCGGCGCCAAACAGGTCGGCATGGGCGGCACGGCCGAGCTTGCGGTCGATGGGCGTGACGGACCGGGGCGGCCTCGGGCTACCTTCGTAGCTGTCCGGGACGCTCAGCTGGCCGATGGGCTGCGAGGGACCGAGCGAGGTCACGCTCGATGCCAAGCCCGCGCTGAGGTCAGGCCCGGGCGTGAGGTCCTGGATGGCCTTGAGAAAGAGGTCGCTCCGCTTAAAGGCCGGCCAGTCGTCTTCCTCCATCTCCCGATAGACCTGCTGCTGGGCGCGCAGCACGCTTCGCCGCACCTCGTACACCTGCTGGGCCGTCGCCTCGGTGCCGCGCACGTCGCGCAGGAAGCGCCGGGCGGTCTCTATGCATTTGGGGCTGACGCGGATGAGCGGCGAGCTGTAGTAGATGCTGTCAAACAGCTCGAGGTCCTCGCGCAGCGTCTTGACCACCGTGGCCGATGGCGGTGGCACCTTGGCCGACGGGCTCGTCCGCCACTCGTCGTCGTCGTCGTCGGACCCGACCTCTTCGAGCGGATTCTTGAAACTCTCGACGATGAGCCAGAACTGGACGAGGATGAGGCGGTGCTTGCGGTCCATGGCCTCCATGAAAAAGGACAGGCTCGAAGGGTTAAGAAGAACGTCGCGCAGCTTTGCTCGCGCGGCCGTGGGGTCGGCGCCCGCGCCCGCCGTCCCGCCGGACGACGACGAGATGGCCGTGCCAGAGGCGAGCTCGGCCACCTTGCGCTCGACCAGGCTGTGGGCAGCCTCGAGCCTCTGCGCGTAGACCTGCAGCTGGGCGCGCTTGTTCTCGACGTCGGCGCCCTGCAGCTGCTCGAGCGAGGCCTTGGTCTTGCGGATCTGCATGGCGATGTCGTTCTTGGTGCGCCGGGCCTCGAGGATCGAGGTGGTCTCGGCGATGCTCTGCATGAAGGCCTCGAACGACTTCTGGTCGCGCTTGCGAGCCTTTGCCTGGGGCCAGAGGTCGATGCCGAGGTTCTGGACGGCCGACGACGACGACCCGCCCGCGTCCTGCTTGTCGAGCGCCTCGCGCAGCTTGCTGACGAGCTTCTGCTCGTGCATGACGGCGCCGGCCTTTTGGTCGAGCAGCGCGTTCCAAAAGTCCGGATCGCTCATCATGTCGATGACGGGAAAGAGGATGGTGCAGGCGACAATCTCGCGCACCACGACCACGACGGCCTGGCTGCGCAGCTCGGCCTCGGGCAGCACCGCCTCGAGGATGCGGGAGACGAGGGCACGGAGGTGGGCCTGCTCGGCCACCTTCGTGTTCGGGCTGGACATGTCGCCGACGGCCGGGTGCAGTCTGCCGCCCTGGTACTTGCCGGCGAGGAAGAGATCGACCTGGTCGCTCCCGAGCGAGTGGAGCGCGCTGGACCGCGACGAGCCGCGCAGGGCGGCCTCTGCCCGGCGGAAGGCATCGAGGTGGTGGGTGACCTGGGGCAGGATCCTGCGCACGGCGAGGGTGGCGATGTCCAGTTGGGCCGCACGCTGCGAGAGCTGGGAGAGGGCATGGCGCACCGTCGACTCGACGGCGTGCGGGAACTCGGGAGCCGAGTCGCGGGGCTCGGGACGCTCGGAGCCCGAGGCGAGCGGGGTGTGCCACTTTTGGACAAAGTCGCGGAGGATGAGGCGGAGGAGGTCGTCGACGGCATCCGAGACCTCTCGAGACTGTGGGTGGATGGGCTCCCGGCGGGACGAGTCGGAAGGGCTGCGTGCCCAGTCGAGGCGGGTGCAGTGGGCGGACCAGGCGGCGGGGGTGAGGAAGCTGAGGCGTGGGACGGAGCGGAGGGCGTGGGAGTCGTCCTGCCAGGGGCTCAGGGTGGCCGACGAGGAGCGAGCGTGCCACTGACGGTCGAGGAAGAAGTTTGCGGCGAGGAAGAGGACGGGAGCCAGGAGGATGCACAGGAGGATGGCGAGGGGGGTGAGGAAGAGGACGGTCCAGGGGCCCGGTCGCCAGAGGTAGGCGAGGGCAGCAGGGAGCAGCGCGATGGCGGCCGCAACGGCGACTGGGCGCGAGGGTATCATGATGGTCGTGGACGCTTCGATGTCGTGAGCGAGGTGGCCGAGGGCATGCCGTGGCTAGCAGCCGTGCTGATCGTGGATGGGCCGAGATGGGCAAGGAGAGTGGCCTCGCCCGATGACGTTGGTCGGGCGGCTGCTAGAAGGGCATGGTGGCAGCCGCCGTGGAAGGTTCCAGAGAGCGCGCTGTCGTGGCACTGTGGACAGCGAAACGTTAACGCCGAAGAGTGTGGCGGGAGGAGGTGGTGGTGGTGGTGGTCGGTGCGGTGTTGGTCTCTGCCCTGCCGTGCCGTGCCCTGGTTCAGCTTGGCTTGGCTTGGCTTGCCTGACCAGGCTGGACCCTGCCTGCCCGCGCCCAAGCCTGAGCCCGAGCCCGAGCCCAAGTCCGAACGGCGCTGTTCGGCCCCTGACGGCCGCTCGTGGGTCTCAAGTGACGACTTTGCTCATCTCGCCCGACTTCCGGGCTGCGACTGCCGGCCCAAACTCGAGGTCGAGTGGAGGGCCGGGGCCAGGCGAAGAAGAGGCCAGAGCAGAACCCACAGCCAGGCGGCCAGGCCCAGGAGGGGCCAGGCGGCGGGGTTAACCCCAGCCAGCGGGCGCGCCGGTGGGTTAGGCCCGATCACCGTTCAAACCTCGTCACGCCATGGCAGGCCATGCCATGCAGGCTGCAGCCCAGCCAGGCGCCAGACGGGCATTCCGTGCGTAGTGCGGCCGGAGCGCCTTCTTCCTGGCCTTGCAGGGCCTCCCTCGTGCTCGCCCCAAGGGCCTCGCCGCCGCCGCCTCGAGCGGAGCACCTACATATACCGGGCCACACCGAACGTGGCTCTCAATAATCTTTCGCCACCACCACCATCACCATCACTTTCCTCCCTCTGCTTTATCGCCTATCCGCCATCTTAATCGCCCAACATGCCCGTCAAGGAGCTCAAGAGTTACGACGAGTTCAAGGCCGCCGTGAGTAGACCCCTGCCCCTGCCCCTGCCCTTGCTCGTGCCGCCCCGCACCCCCTGCGTCCGGAGCCATCGCTGACCCTCCCCCCTCCCTCTCTCGCACCACACTTGCGCAGATCAACGGCGACAAGGTGGCCGTCATCGACTTCTGGGCCACCTGGTGCGGCCCGTGCCGCGTCATCGGCCCCGTCTTTGAGCGCATCTCGGACACGCCCGCCGCCGACAAGATCGACTTTTACAAGGTCGACGTCGACGCCCAGGAAAAGATCGCCCAGGAGTGCAAGATCACCGCCATGCCCACGTTTGTCTTTTTCAAGAACGGCGAGGTCGTCGAGACCGTCCTCGGCGCCAACCCGGGCGCCCTCAACGTGAGTCGCCCCCTCCCGTCGCGCCCTCGTCTGCCTCATCTGCTGTGTCGCAATGTCCCTGACCCGCCTCCTCTTTCTTGCCTCTTCCGCCCTTGCCCCTCCCCCAGACCGCCATCAGCAAGCACGCCGCATGAGCTGGCCCCGATGCGTGTATACGTACAGCTTGCACGCCTTCGCCTCCCATCTCTGTGTAATACCACCCGCTCCGGCTGCTTTTCCGACCGACCACGACTGAAGCCACGCACGCCACCGCCTGCCAGCCAGTCGAAAGTCTTGCGGCGGCAGCAACGACGGCCAGCAGCCTGACGCCTTCATTGTTTGTCGGCTTTTTGCTGCTGATTCCGTCGCATGGTCAAGGCGAGAAGGCTGCTGGCTGACTTTCGAAGAGAGACGAAAAGAGGGAAGAGGGAGAGAGAGCGAAGGAAATGGTTCGTAGACATGGTTGGGATGATGACGGGGGGTGACACTGGGAGGCGCTAGCGGGTGCGAGACTGGACAGAGAACGATGCAAGGAGAAGGGAATCGAGCGCAGGCGGCGCAGCGTGGCGTAGCCCTCTTTGTCGGTCTAGAAGGTGTCGGAGCCCGGATCACGGCCGCGGGCTACGGCTGCGGCTCGTCGGCCTCGACCGACGGCGGATCCTGGGCGGGCGTCGAGAGGCCCGCCATCTCCGAGAGGCTGGCAATGATCTTGTCGACGTTGTCGACGTGCCACTCGGCCAGCGTCTTGCGATTGTTGGGCCCAATCACGGTCGTGTAGATGGCGTCGCGCACCAGCTCGAGCGTCTTGGCCTCGCCCACGGGCATGCCCTGCTTGAGGGGCGCCGGCGGCGAAATCACCAGCGGCGCGTCCTTGGGCACGTCGCGGCACGCCACGTTGACGTCGACCTTGTGGGCCGCCGCCGTCTGGAGCGGCGACAGGCTCGCGCCCCGGCCCGCGCCCGCGCCCGCACCGCCTCCCGCCGAGTCCGACGAGTTGGCCGGCGCCAAGTTGTAGAGCGTGCGGAACATGTCCTCGTCGGTCTTGTCGTCGCCGGCGCAAAAGACAAAGTCGGCGTCCGGGTGGTCGTAGAGGAGGCGCTTGACAATCTCGCCCTTGTTGACGGCCAGCGGGCGCACCTCGAGGTTCTTTTTGCCCACCAGCACCTCGACCGGCAGCTTGTTGTGCGACGTCAGGTTCTCGAGGTGCGCCTGGCACTCCTTTGCCTGGAAGGACCCAAAGTCGGGGTCCGCGCCCCGGTAGTGCCACGTGATGGAGCTCTTCTTCTGCTCGATGAAGCTGCCGCCGGTTCGCTGTGGGGGCAAGGGGAAGGACGGGCAAAAGCGGAGGGCGGAGAGCAGATGCCGAGGAACGAGTCGGACCAGGACGTCAGTCGCACTGCCGCTTCGCTCACTGCGCGCGCGCGAAAGACAGAGAGAGGGGTCTGCCATGCCATGCGGCGCGGCTCGGCTCGCCTGCTCGGGACTCACCTCGGTATAGTACTCAAAGACGCCGCGGATGCCCTTCATCCAGGACATGTCGAGCTCCTCGGTCAGGTTGCGCCACTCGTCGCTGCCGGGCAACTTGAGAAAGCCGCCGTGCTCGGCCGAGAAGCCAATGTTGCGGAAGTGGCCCAGGTGCTTGCCCAGGAAGGCGCCGTCGCGGCCCGAGATGATAAAGATGACGTTGCGCGGGTCCTCGGCGAGCACCTTGAGCGCGTCGAGCAGCCGCTGCGAGGGGACGGCCATCTCGGGCTGCTTGACGATGGGCGTCAGCGTGCCGTCGTAGTCGAGCATAAACAGGCGCTTCCTCGCCCGGCCAAACTTGGCCAGCATCTCGTCGCGGTCGAGCGGCGGCGTAAAGTGGGCCGAGTGCTCCGAGATGAGGCGCACCAGCAGCTGCTTGACCAGCCCGGCGGCCCACGTGTGCGACGTGTGCGACACCACCTGGTGGTACAGCTGGTCGTGCCGCGCGCGCTTCTCGTCGTCGGTCAGGCGCAGCGCGTAGTCGATCGCCTTGGCCACCCCAAAGATGTTCCACGGGTTCACCTGGATGGCGGAGCGCATGCGGCCTGCCGTGCCGGTGAACTCGCTGAGGATGAGCGGGCTCTTGGCGAAGCGCTCCTGGCAGATGATGTACTCCATCGACGTCGTGTTCATGCCGTCGCGGACCGACGTGATGAGGGCGAGGTCGGCGACCGAGAGGAGCGCAAAGTACTCGTCGCGATCGATGATCTGGTGGTAGTGGTGGACCGGGGTGAAGCTGAGCGAGCCAAACTCGCCGTTGATGTGCGACACGAGCTCCGACACCTGGCGCTCGAGCTTGGGCGAGTCGTTGAGCGCCGGCGCCGTCACCTGGATCAGCACCACCTTGTTGCGCCACTCGGGGAACTCGGCGAGGAACTTGTGGAACGCCTGCAGCTTCTGCACCACGCCGCGCACGACGTCGAGCTTGTCGCGCCCGATGAGGATCTTTTTGCCCTTGTACATCTCGCGGATGGCCTGGATCTTGGGCAGCACGCCCTCCGACGAGCTGTCCTTGGCGATCTTGGCCGAGTCGATGCCGATCGGGTTGTAGGTGATGTTGGTCACGTGGCCGCCGTTGTCCGACTCGACGCTGTTCGACGACGCCTCGGAGCCCAGCACGCGGATGCACGACGACAAAAAGTGGCGCGAGTAGGAAAAGGCCTGGAAGCACGCCAGGTCGGCGCCGAGCATGCCCTCGAGGATCTCCTTGCGCTTGGGCAGGCAGCGGAACACCTCGCTGCTGGGAAAGGGAGCGTGGACAAACAGGCCGATGTGCGCGTCGGGCACCAGCTTGCGCAGCATCAGCGGCACCAGCAGCAGGTGGTAGTCGTGCACCCACACCAGGTCGCCCGGCCGGTACTCGGCCGCCACCCGCTTGGCAAACGCCTCGTTGGCGGCGTAGTAGGCCTCCCACGAGTAGTCTTCCCACGCCCGGCGCTCCGCGTGCACGTCCTGCCAGAGAAGGTAGTGGAAGAGGGGCCACAGCGTCGTCTTGCAGTAGCCCTCGTAGTGGCCGTGGGCGACGTTGTGGTCG